TTTGGGTATTTCTTTCTCCCTTTACTACTGATATTTTGATCATAAACTACAAAGAAATGTATGGAGCGATGTTCGATGTTGAGTGTATGACGTCACAGACTCCAAAAAATAATCGTAAAAATATCATACTTTCGTCCAGAATATCGAGAAAACACTTCATATAGTGATTATTGGACCTTTAAAGGTCGATTTTCGTCGTAGTAGCACTTTAAATATTCTTTAAATAGTTATGTACCTTCGATCGGTGAAATCTGTGTTGGAAAATACTGGGTACCACTTGTGCTAGGCCTCCTGCAACTCTCCCCATCCCCGGCCTTGGGTACATGAGGGGAGTATGGTGGAGATCCAATCAGCTTGATCCGTTTTGGAGTACCAGCTGGTGTTAGAGGACTAGAGGAGTCTCTCTTTTTGTCTATGCTTCCAGGTATGTTTAATTTCTTAGGGGGTGGTGGTTGGGGAGGTTTTGGAGGCTGGATGTTGGGCTTGAGGTCAGAGTCTGCAGCTCTTGAGCTTTTGGGACCTTTAATTCATTAAGAGAGAAAGAAATACAATAAATACATAAATATATTTATAGTAAACTCAACAAAATTACTCGACTCTGATTGGTCGAGAGGAGTACAATTATAGCGTTAATTGTACTCCGTAGGAGTACCGAATTAAGTCGCTATGGCAACACGGCCAAAATGATTTCAAAACAATTATTTTCTATCATTTTGTACTTAAAAAACTTATAAATAAAATTTCAAAGCCGTAAGAACTAATCTTTTTTATGCATTTCAGTTGCGCGATGGACTGAAAATCGGCCGCCAAATAGACAAAGATGAACGGCGTCGCTTCGCATTTTATACTGAAATTTTGTTGAGTGAACTATAAACAAAAAATCGCACGATCATCTCGTAAAGGCTCGTGCAATTACTGTACAAGAACTTTCAAAACATTACGAGTGTCTATTATTTTCCAAATTGTACTCGAGATCGTGCGATTTCCTATACTAATGACAATGTGATGATGATGATAGGATTTAGCTTTAGCATATCTACACCGAGTAGTTTTTTCCACTGAATTCTATATGGTCTAGAGACCCCTTGCATGTGTCATCAAAGGAGCTCAATAGGCGACTTGCACTAAGAGGTCACATGATCAAATCGGCCATTGTGGCTGGCATTCACAGGATTTCAGCTATGTGAGAATGTACATAGGACAAAGATGGCGGATTCGGGTAGTTTTTTTGGTGATAAAAGATAAGTTAGCGCACTAAATAACGATAAAAATCCCCTTTTCTTGCAAGAAATATATTCTTAGTCTATATCTAAAGCAGATATTTGCTCTTAACTTGCCAGGAAGAGAAAAAATATGGTATTTTTTGCACTAGCCACATTTCTTGCAAATGCCAGCCACAGTGGCCAATTTGATCACGCGACCTCTTAGTGCAAGTTGCCTATTTGGCATACAAAACAAAAGAATTTTGAGAATTTTGAATCTCCTGAAAATTGGAAAACTATTGTTGTCCTCCAAATTGAACTCCTTTGATGACACATGCAAGGAGTGTATGTTGGCGAAGAAAAAAAACCTGGAAAACCCAAAGAAAAACCCTCATGGTAAGGATGAGACCTGACAACAATTCTACTGTAATTGTGAACACATATACAGCTAACGTGGTACTTCTAGGAAGTGGGCACCACTGGGTCTATGCCAGGTAAACAACTTATTAAAGGGTATGTGATAAATAAAACTTTTTGCTTTGGAAAATTCCAGCTCTGTGCAACTAGCTGTTGGTTAAATGAGGGCCCTCGATCAAGAGTCAAGCTATCTGTAATTTCCATGGTTGAATAAGTGACGTAACTTACCAAGTGCAATGAGATCTCCTGTAGGTAGATGACCTGTATTAAAAATGAAAATAAACTCTTCAACTTGTGACGTTAAGCCAATGCAAATCTACCTTTTAAAGTATGTTATTACTGCAGTTTTCGATATCCTGCGAACTCAGACATTTCAATGGCTTGCTATAACTAGCTAAAAACTAGTGTGAGCTGCGTCAGTGTTTCTAATGAAACAGTAATGATGAAAAGGTAAATTATACACTGTGAAAAGATGAAAAAACTTACTGACATCTGATGCTAGTCCTTCGTCGGAGTAAAAGGAATAAGGACTAAAAGGTCCAAAACATCATCTTTTCACAGTGTATAATTTACCTTTTCATCATTACTGTTTCAATGGCTTGTTGTTAAATTGGTTATTACTGCCGCCAGTCAAGAACATAAAAGGTACCAGGTTTTGGGACAGCAATTTTGTCAGGCTCTTGTCATGTTCGTACCATTACCATGCCAAGAATGCACAAGAAGCTAGACAAGATCCAAGCAAGAGGAGAAAAACCCTCGTGACAAGGGAGAGAACACATCAAACAAACTCAACTCACATGAATGTAGACCTTAATTGATCCTACAACCTGAACTATACAATATTATTATCCTCTGGGAGATAAAATGGATTTTAAAATAATAATTTTTATGCTTTATGAAGGTTAATATTTAACGTGGACAACGTACAAAATTAAGTAAGTTCTCATAAAAACATATATTAAGACAGTCGAGTAATTTAAATGAAAAGGAATATTTTATTGTATCACTGACCTCGAGCGCCAGCCTTTGGCCTTCTGGATGGTGGCAGTTTACTCATTCTGTCTTTGCCGAGTTAATATGATATAAAATTTGTAGGAAGTTAGTGAGAAAGATAAGAAGTTCTAAACACTTCAATGTCCGCCATTTTGTTCTCGTAAGAAGAAGGACACAGGGAGCCCAGTTACCACAGGTAGCCCAACCAATGGTTCTCTTGGTTGCTTGGTCGTTTGTATTATTGATCCCCTGTTGCTTGGTTGGTTAGCTGGTTGGTTTGCCGGTCGGTTCGGTCGGTTTAGTGGGTTCGTTGATGATGGGTTCGTTGGTTGATAGATGAGTTGCAGAGGTGTAGCCAGGATTATCCGACCGGGGAGGCCAAAGTTCAAAAATCTACCATTTTGTTTGAGGTGGGTGGGTGGGTTGGTGGGTGGTTGGT